ATGCATCAGTGGACATGGGGGGCCAGAAGGAATTGCCCCTGCCCAGCAGCACTCAGTTAGTGGGGCTTTTTTTTTCAAAGTGCCGGGAGCTAGGACAGCAAGGGCAGCCATTGCCAGGGCTGGGAAAGCGGGCAGCAGATGGGTCTGGGTGATTCAGAGATTTGGAGATTTAGCAGCAGCTGAATTGATTTAGGACAGTGACTCAAATCACCAAATTGAATCACTGTTCCCTGAATCGGCCAAATCCAATGTGAATACTAGCCACTTTGCACAGGGCTAGTAGCAAAATCACTTGCTTCCCTGTGTTTGGTATGTGATATGTTACATCTGATTAAACCCTCCAAATCTGTGTTTTTCCATGATTAAAATGAAACGCTACTATATATAGGTATAGGTATAATTATCAGTTGAATACAATGTTTTATTGATATATTTACAATTTTGAAGCAGTTTGGAAGTCTACCAGTTCCTCAATCCTTCTAATAAAACAGATTCTAAATACCTATATATTTTGGAATTTGATTTAGTTTTTTTGTCATGGAAAATCAGAGCTGCCCCTGCCCCCTTTGCTTAGCAGGATGCAGTTCCAGCTACAGCTGCCCCCCTCCCTCCACCCCACCCCCCACTACTTTATGTCACTGAGCAGCCCTGATATGCTGGTGCCCTGCCCTTGCCATTGCCATCACTCCTAAGCCAAATCCCCCCCTCCCCACCTTGCTGCTGCCTCTCCCAAACTGCAGGCCCTGCCTTGCCAGTTCCCCTTACTCCCAACCCATGGCCCCCCAGCCCTGCTATTGCCCCTCACTTCTGACCTGTAGCCTCCTCTCCCCCCAGATCTGCTGGAGCCGCCCCCCTTCCCCAGCTGCCAGGTATGTGGGACTATCCCATCGCCTCTCTGTTCTATGGGCCAGTTGCATCTGGCCAGTAGTGCCCAAGCCCTGGTTGCCATGCATGGAGGGTGGCAGTGGCAGCTTGGGTCACTCAATGAATCTTGGGTTTTATTTTTATATCTAACACTTTCCTTTTCTACAGAGTACTAAGTACAGTTAGGACTTATTAGAATGTCAATTTCAACCCAAAATTTCCTATTGATATGTGCAGTGGAGATTCTCTATTATTTATTTAGTAATGCTGATTAAAGGAATCTATTGTTCTCCAATGGAAAAGTAATAAAATTTGTGCTCTGAGGACCAATTAATCAATTATACAATTGGTTGAGTTTTTCCCTTTCCCCACTTTTTGTATGTGACTCGCTGTTTTCTGTGTGTTCCACTATCCACTCTTTTGTCAAGAAATGTTGTGGTTCCTAAGGGAACAAAGAGAACACACTGAAAACAGTAGATGGGCTAGGGGGATACAGGAAATAATAAAATTTGTCTCTAAAATACACAACAATAAAAAATAAGGAACATAGGGAAAGGCAGAAGTGACAATTTTTCCCTGACCTGACCACAGAAGGTAGTCTACAGCCATGACCAAATACAAGTGCATGGCTGCAGACTGCTTCTAAAATGGCCAACTGGGTGAAAATTGCATGAGGAGTCAGTGAGGACATTTCAAAATGGAGAGTCTCCTGTAACTTCTGTTCACCTGCCTGCCAGCCTATCACTGTTTTTGGAATGGGGAGGAGGGAAAGGGAGTGAAGAGAGGTCAGTCTGGGGATTTTTCAGTCCCCATTACAGGGTGGGATGGGTGTATTGGAGCCTCCCCAGTGTGTGCGTGTGGGGGGGGGAGGGAGGCTCCAATTCCGCCCCCCCCACTCTCCAGTGCTGGCTGGGGAACCCCTAAAATGATCTCCTTCTGCTCCCTTTTCCCTATCTCATTCTGAAAACAGTGCAGACTTGCAGGAAGCAGAGGCCATTGTTAGAGAAAACTGGCTTCAGGCTTGCAGGCTGGTAGCCAGCAGGTAGATTCCCCCGAACCAACAGTGAGCTTCTGTTTAGTCCTGGGGATTTCATAGATTTCATAGACATTAGGGCTGGAAGGGACCTTGGAAGATCATCAAGTCCAGCCCCCTGCCCGAGGGGCAGGAAGTCAGCTGGGGTCATAGGATCCCAGCAAAATAAGCATCCAAATTTCTCTTGAAGGTGTTCAATGTAGGTGCTTGAACCACCTCCAATGGCAGGCTATTCCAGACCTTGGGGTCTCAGACAGTAAAGAAATTCTTCCTTATGTCCAGCCTGAAATGGTCTTGCAGTAGTTTATAACAGTTTCACCACATCATCCCTTGGGGCGCTCTGGTGAACAATCATTCCCCCAGATCCTGTAACTCAGAATTATTGTAACGCAGAATGCTTCCTGAAAAACGTTCTGAATTACAGCAGGGAACTGCACTACTGTCTGCACCCACAGGTACAAACTTTCTTGAACTTCTCTTTGAAACTCTAGAAGCATGACCCAAGGACTGCTAGTTCCTTTGTCTTGTTCTTATACCTTTGAAATATTTAAAGTATTTGAAGAACAAATTGATTTTTGGCTGTGGAGAGTGAGACAAAGTGGTTTGGTGATTAGTATCCTAGTTTCACTTTCAGGAGGCTGAGGTTCAAGTCAAGTTTTCAAATCAAGCTGTGTTTTACATTCCAACTTAACAGCTGAGCCATGCCACTCAGGGTCAGATACAGAAAAGGACAAAGGTTCCTAAATTCAAAACTGTAATCATGCAAATCCTATATAGTTGCTGGCTAACAATGGAGGTGCCTAAACTTCTAAGGTATCTCTTTCATCTTTAATTTCTTCAAAGTTCTGCACTTCCCAGAAACGTCTCTGTTTTGACTATGCTGAGTAGCCCAATATCTTGCTTTTGCCTAATTTCAATAGAATTTGGCATTTTGCTTTTGCTTAATACCAGCAGAATCTGTAATTAGTCACTCATGTGCCTGAATCCCCCAAAGGGCTCATTCTAATAGATTCTTCCAGAGTTTACCTTGCACATCTCTATAGGATGTAGTTTCTCAAAAGAAAAGAAAAAGCTATATCACTTTCTTTTAAAACTCACAGAAGTGGTGCCCCATCTTATGTAATAGCCTTGGAGGTAAAATAATTTACCAAAGATGTAGTTCTGAGTTCAACGCTTTCCTTTGCTCAAAGAAATTAAAACCTATCTCCCCCAGAGATTATACAATTTACAAGGTCATGAGTTCTGGCAACGCTCCTGTTATTGGACCTATACTATCTTGCTAAAAATAATTCACAATCCATTTAGTGAAGACAAAGGTTGCAAAAGGGAGCTTGACTCTGTAATATAAAATTTAGTGTAGGTCCCTGAGAGAAGGGAGACCTGACTTCCAATCCTTGCATTAAAATTATTTATGCATATAACATAAAATAGTAATTGAATAAAATATAAAAGTATTTCTTAACCGAAGGATGGAGCTCTAGTCACCCTCTTGTCAGGTGACTGCCCTGAAAACAAGTCAAGAGGGCCATGCTAATTTTGAATACTCTCTCTGGCCTCTTAGGTAACTTGGGAAGCTCCACTCTGAGTACATCTTCTCCTCGTTCAGTGTCATTTATGTTTTGGATCCATTATAAGGCATGCACCATATAGACAGCATAGGCATAAAGCACTCTGGGTCTACCCTTGGGGCATATAAAATGTAGGTGTTGAAACACCTCGCCTCTGGCATCTAAATATTTTTTTGGATATTTCCCTTAGTTTTTCTTTGTCATGGTTCTCTGCAAAATGGGAGTACGTCCTTGCCTCTCAGGTATGCTGTAAGAATACATTTATTTTAAGATTGCAAGGTTCTCAGATATTACAAGGACAGGAGTCCTATAAATACATCAAAAATGGGTTATGGGAAGAAGTTTAGGTCCTGATATAGAGAACAAGAAGACTGCTGGAGCTACAAATCCTTACTGCCTTTAAGAGGGATTATTAAAACTGAGCACATCAGTCCTACTACATGCTACCACTGGCAGGAGAGGAGCCTAGTATTTTTACTTCTGCTCATGATGTGTTTGTGTAATGCTTTACACACATATATTAGGATTATTATTATTTCATTCTGGATGGTCTGGAATCATAATGCAGTTACAATACCAAGGATGATATAACATTTCTTGTATTTTGAAGAAACAGAGTGACCAATCCAGGTAGACAAGACTTGATTTTATTAATAAAATTTGTATTTTCCCTCTTTGAGGTGACAATTACAAACTTTGGTTCAAAAATATAAGAAATTCTGAACAGCAAAAGTTGACTTTTTAAATCTCACTTTTACACATGTATAATCTTGCATGATAAAATACCATTTGGAAATGAGCCAGTGGAATCTGGTACCAATTAAGTTAACAATTTATATAAGAAATAACAAACATTTATTTTCAAGTCTTACATATATTATGAAAAATAATTACAAAAGGATTTGTTTTGTAAAGTCAAAATGTTATTTCTACTTCCCACTACCTAAACAATATTTAAAGGAAGGACAAACCACCTTTTTTGGGAGATTTGAATTGCAAATTGTAACAGTTTGGGTCAGAAACAAGCTCTGTAGGTAGCAGTTCCCTCGTATGTTGCTTGGCAACTAGGTAGAATCACATGACCTAGACATATTGTGTCCCTAAGCTTGAAAAAAATAATGGGGGAAAAAAAATCACATTTGCAGGATGGACAAATCATATATGGGGTATTACGTGTAGAATTTTGTATCTGTTTCAGGAAGCAAATACTTATCATTGCTCACATAAAATCCAAGTAAACACTGCACAAATCCATAAATAATTTTTAGAATCCAGTTTTAATATTTATGTGGATCAAAGAAGCACAATGAAGATGAGATACAAAAAAGGGAAGGCTATATGACTAACCATTTACTTCACATAGACTTGAACAGATTTCTTACGCTTAAGCTTTTTTTTTTTTCCCCCCCCTTCATCCTTTTTCATACACATTTCCCGCACCCAAAAATAAACTTACTTATTTTAGGTATATACAGGTATCTTAAGAAATTCTGAAATCTGAACAGGAAAATAAAAGTCTGAGGTATAGCACCATGGAATACAGCACCTTAATGGGTGCATTCATTCTTGAAATTATCATCATAAAGTAGTATCTGCAGAGAAGTGTTGTTTTAAGTGTGCTGCCAAACGTCTTCCAGTTTTGTCACCCAAAGTTTTTGCTGGTGACTTCAAATAACAAAGCTCTTCAACATCAATATATACAAAGGGATTTTTATTATTAATCAGGAAATTGAATTGGATTCACTGTCAATTACAACTTTATTTTTCATAATACATACACAGTATTGACAACGTCATTTTGCAATTATAAAATAAGAGCCAGATGCAATCAGAGACACATGCAAGTTTTGGAAATGGACAGAGAAATAACAGTACAGTACTGTACATAGAATAATTACAGTTTGTTAAACACTTTCCTAACACCACTTTGTTGTAATGAAAGGAGCACCATTACATTAATTTTTTTTACAGCACCAGAAGAGTCCAAAGGGGGTGTTCATAAAATTAGCCTATGCTGTCTAACACGGCCACAGCATTTTTATGTCCTTCATGATTTTCCAAATAAGTTTAAGTTATGTGATTCTGGCCCTACAAGGGCAACAAGTACTTTCTAGGTAAGATATACACACACAGCCAGACAGATTTTCTATACCATCCTTATTCAAAACTTGCATGTGGCATGAAGTGGGTTGGTAGCACCAAGGCACAACGTTTGTTGTTCTGCTCTCTGCCCTAAACTTAACCAAGGAAACAGACAGGACCAACTTCGAATCCAAACTTCTGATTCTGATCACCAAAGTCATTAATCATCACATCAACAATAGGCACTTGGTCTATTTTAGGTGTATTGATTTCGATCACAGTCTTCGCATAGCCTTTTCTTGACTGTATAAAAAAGAAAAAAAAGAAGTAAAACAAAACCAAATATGGTTATACATAAAAGCAGAAAACATATTACATAGCTCTTTCAGTCACCTTTAAAATACAAAACTTATGGATAACAAAGGAACATGCTATGAACTATATTAACTGCACAGAAAAAGGTACTTAGTTGTGTTGGTCTGAAATCAGAAAGAAAGCAAAGCTGTGTGGCACCTGATAGCAGAAGTGTAACTAGGGCAGGGCAATGGGAGCAGCCATAGGCACTAACTTTTATTTTTACAAATGGTGGGGAGGGAAGGGGCCTAACATGATGGACATATGGAAAGTTTTACACATTTCAGGTCACAGCCCTCTTCCTGAGTGGGGCCAGGGCCCTCGGGCTCCTATATACTCAGCTTCTCTGGGAGCAGCCACCCCAGGCACTGACTTCAGGGGGTTGGGAAAAAAACCCATTGTTGCTGCATGATTGCACCAGTGGCACAGCAACAGCTGGAAGTTGCTGCTTTCTCCACGTGTCACAGCTGCCCTGGGTGTCCATTTTCATTGCTACACCTCTGCCTTATAGACTAATTTACTCAGAGGGATGAGCTCTTGTAGGCTACTGCCTACTTTATCAGACGCTATGAATGGATTTTCAGAGAGCAGGGGTACTAAACAGAAAGGAATAAGATAAGTTATATACAAAGCATAGGGAGAGAGGAAGTAAAGGAGAGGGCACTGCTGAGAGGAAGGTGAGTTGAAAACATCAAAGATGATAAACAAAGCTGCAACCCTACTGAGGGACACAGGCTTATAAAAGCTAGTCCAGGTAATGGAATAAGAATCCGGACTGGATTGTGCTAAGTACAGCCTCAACAAAGACTAGGTATTGATCTTCTGAAGTTATCTTCACTTCTCACAGCAGTGCCCTTTCCTTTCCTCCCTGCTTTCTGCCTATAGAGAATGCTTTCATCTGGACTGAACTTCATGTAGTGGCTCCTCATCTAAACCCCAATCTCAGGGACATTAAGAAAGTACAGGAAACCCTCACTATTTGTGGGTTCGGCATTCGCGGTTAAAAATATTTGTGAATGCCGAACCTGCTTCTTAAATACACTTAAAGGAGCTCCTCAGGAGCTTTGCACTTGCCACCGCTGCACTCAGCCCTTGCCAACCTGGCTTCCTTTTGGGGCCCTCTCCCCTTTTTACTCACTCACCATGCCTTGATGTTATTAACTTCTGAGGAAAGGGAGGCTGCCTCAGGGCTTCCCAAGCCTGGTCTTACTCTTATGACCACAGGTGCCTGTGGTCATGGCCTTAAGGGCTACTTTTGTGGGCTCCATCCTCCCCATTAAGCACAGCCATGCCTCACAAGTGATCTGCTAAAACAACTCTCTGCCCTCTGGCAGGCCCCAGGCACTGGAGCTTCCCTTGAATGCTTAGTCCCCCTTCAGCACTGGACTCCCCTGCCCCCCCGCCAGGCACCAGACCTTCTCTTGGGTGCTTAATCCCTCTAGGTGTTGGACTTTCCTTGTCCTTCTCCCAGGCACCAGACCTTCTTTTGAGTACCTAGTCCCCCTGGACACTGGACCTCCTCCCAAGTACCTAGTCCTTCCTGGGCTTAAGCTAGGGTGGCCATTGAGGTCCCTCAAGAATAGAGGACTGTTGTATTTAGTGAAACTGTCCCCACCACCATGAACATCACATGCCTCCAAAGGCTGGGGGGGCATGGCAAGCTCCTACAGGTGGCAGTGGTGGTATTGGCAGCAGGGGCGTGGTGGCAGTAAGCAGGGAGCTCCCACAGGGAAACACGGCAGTGTTGGCAGTAGGAGTGGGCCAAGTGGGGAGCTCCTGCAGGCAGTCATGGCAGTGTCAGCAGCAGGGGTGGGCTGAGTGGGGAGCTTCCACAGGTGGCTGTGATGGTGTCAGTGGTGGGGGAGCAGGGGGTGCTGAGTGGTGAAAAATAGAGGACACAAACACATCTGGTTTCATATCAATAGAGGACAGAGGACCAGAAAACCAGACTGTCCTCTATAAAACTGGATGAATGGCCACCCTAGCTTAAGCCCTGTCTCTGTCTCTGGGGGCTCAAGCCTATCTCTCCCTAGGTCCCCAAGCTTATCTATTCAAAAGCCTGCCTCACCCCGCTCAGATGCTGTGCCCCTGACCCCTGTTCCCAGGCCTGCCTTGCCCCTCTTGGGTGTTCTATTTGTACCCTGGCCCTCTACTCTCTGGTGCCCCTCTCCAGGTTATGGGCTCACCTACTCCTGTTCCCAGGTCTATCTATTCCAAGGCTTGTCTTGTTCCTGGGCTCAGCACCGCTTACCCCAGCTCAGATGTTTAGGCAGGAGCCTTGCTGCAGCCCTGCTGCCAGCAGATCCTTGCCCTATGGCTCCTGGGGCTAGACTGCCTAACCAGCTTAGGCCCTGGCCTTATCTGTCTCAAGCCATTTCCCATTTCTGGTCAGGTGATTCCCTCATTAGCCCCTGCCACACCTGCAGCCTCCCTTAAATTAACAGGTGCACCATGCTCCCTGTCATAGTCATCATCTTGTTGATGGCACTATAACTAATGCCATCTCCAGGAGCTCCACACATATAGATAGCATGATGACAAGAGCTATATAAAAACCTGAGAGGGTTTATAAAAAGAGAGGCACAGATTGAAGAGAAAGAGTCATAGACCAGAATGTTATTGCCGAGAAATGATCACTAGCCAACTAAATTAACCTTGTCTCTGAATCAGACCCGGTTAAAACCATATTAAATTCACTGCAGGAAACCGAAGGCTTTCAGGTTTTGTTACTGATACTTGCTTCCTTTAGCACATGCTTCTCCATAATTATCTCTAAAATGCTTAGCTCTCCCAGTGGTATACAATCATCACAGTGATTAGCGTTATAAACCTTGATATACGCTTGGATAACTCATGGCAAAAAAAATTAGTATTAAAACATGGCATCTGACAAAGGAAGATACCAAATGTTATGCCTTTGGAGACCCAATACCTTGCTTAAGAGATAATTAGATAGCTGGTGTATGTGTCAAACACACCAACTGGCACTAGGAGGGCTGCGAAAGGTATGGGTTCTATGAACTTTACCTGGATTTTATTTCTACTATTCCTATTCTAGGTAAACAATGCCACATGTCAAATTAATTGATTCACAGGCCTTGGATGCATGGTACAGATTCCTGATACATGTTTTTGCTACCTTACATTATAGTCTTCCCTTGCATCAATTGATTTTGACTGTAAATATATACCATCAGTGTGATGCCTCTTTCAGTGATGCTTATTTTCTATTACTTCTCCATTATGTTATATCTATAATAAAAAATGTCTAATTTCAAGATACTGGCATTGTCTTGAAATTAGACAAGAGATCCTACCCTTGATATTGCTTGATATATGGTTAATACTATTTTTCTCAATAGTTTTATGCAATTTAAATAAGTGACTAATTCACTGTAGTTAAAATCTACTGAAATGGCAGACTATTAAAAATAAAACCTCTGGAAAGCTTTTCTCCAAAGGAAGCTGGCATAAGAAGGACCTGTTTGGATTATCAAACTAACCTGTCATATTAAAGTACAAAAGAATATTCTGAGCCTATACTTACTGCACAACCATCATGAAGAGCTTTGATGTAAGGATTGTTGTCATAAGACATCTCTTCATCATTTGATCCTAAGAACCTCAGCGCTTTGTCATAGCTGTCAGATGATGCATCATGCCAACCTACTGACTGATGACAGTTGTAAGTGAAATTTTGTCTTGCAGAGGCACTCAGTAGTTTAAGGAATGTCATTTGGACCATATTAATGGCATTGCCTTCAACATCCAAATAGGAAAGCTGGAAAATATAAGTAGGCACATGAACATTTGGTTCACTAAAATGCAAAAGAGAAAAGTCATGGTTGACAAAGTTCACATTAAGAAGCTTCAATGTAAAAATCAACTGAATATGGTTTGCTGATTTTATAGCACATTTTGTAAAGAATTAAGACATGGAACTATACATTTAAGCTGCATCCTATTTTGCCATACAGAGAACCCTCCCTTCTATATTCCATAAGCTTGCAATAGAAAATTATTCTGGAACCATTTAATGGTGACTATATTTTTATTATATCATATTCCTTTGCATACCCTTCATACCTTTTCCCTAAATATCATCCCTTGAAATGTGGGCACACATCTTCAGTGGGAAAGCTGATTTCTGTATTGGGATGGAAGTGAGGATGCACTGTAATGGCTGCCAGGAGTCTTTTTTCTCCTCTTTCCTGCCAGCAGAGGCAGAATCCAGTTTTAACCCTCTCACAGCCACTACCAAATTAAGAGTAACTTTTGGATGAGTAGAGGGTAAAATCTCTAGCTTTTGTCTGAAGCTGGCATTGAGCTGACTGAGCACAAGCCAGCCGCTCCATGCAGTTATCTTTCACCCTCAGTTCTGGAAAAATCTGTTTCATTATTCCTTTGCAAAACAAGGTGCATGTGTTATTTGGGCACATGTAGTATGCAAGAAAACACACTACTCATTTAATAATGCTCAAGTCTATTTCAGTTTCTTGGATGGGGCATATGAGCTGCATTCAAGTTGCTCTGCAAAAGCTCTATGATGGTGTGAAGTTTGCCAGCACCGAGAGCAAAATCATCAACTATAGATTTGCCACTGGTATTGTTGCTATATTTGCAGAGTAGTAGATGGAACAGCATAGGGCAGGCTCCTTTTCTCTAACGGAGCTGACTAAATTGCTTTTAGCATCTATATAATCAAGATCACTGGTGAATATTCATCATTAGCAGCATGTACCTTGTTTGTGAATGACTATACAAATAGATGACTACTTACCAGTTTGCCTCTCTTAAATTCACTAAACCAGGTTCCTGGATATTCCTTTGGCCATGTTGAAATTCTTACCTGTATTGAAAAAGCATGTAATATAAGTGTTTAAAATACAGGTAAGAAAGAAAAATGTTCAAGAACTATAAAACGAATCTTTCTTTCCTGAGGTATTGAACTTAAAAAAGCTTGTCAAGACACATACACATAAACAGCTCTAAAAATGGCTACTTTGTTTAGGCAGAGGTACAATACCTATATATTAGTTTACTCTAACTGAATTAAAAATAATGAGATTATTTCTGTTTATAAGAGGAAAAAGAGTATGGTTACCTGTTAAGATTCAGGTTCACTCAGATAAGTTACTGGTAAAAACACTCTAGCACAGGATGTCTAAAATAGGAGTTTGCACTGGTAGTGACATTAAAAGATGAACCTGCTTCTTCACTAGTTGCTCCCTGACATTTATTCTTGTGAGCGTGGATCTCTTATCAAATCCTACAGATAATGTTCTACGCGCATCTTGCAAAGCTTTTAATGAGACTTAAGAGACAAGAAAGTATAGAATTTGACAAAAAAGTTTATCTTTTAGATGCCAGATTAATGCCTATGCTCTCATTAAAAATGGCTGCACAGCTGTGTTACATACTGAGATACAGCAGAAGTTTAGCTAGCAAGCAGGTGCATAAAAAATCTGAGCAAAAGAAAAATAAAGTGGCTATTTGTTAACTATGTGTATCATTTCATTGCTTTATTCATGTTTATGCAAATGCAAATATAATAATTAGCCTGTAAGAAAGGCAGATAAACAGAAATTGTGAAAGTCTAATTTTCCTGTTTAGTTCAATATTGCAGCAGCACAGCAGGAACTGACAACAGTCAACCCAAAACACAGATTGGTACTTACTCCTTCAGATTTCTTATCTGGATAGATGCAAGTTTCCCCACCTGCTGTGAAATTACAGTACACTTTGAAGGAGTCTCCAGAGCAGCCCTGGTTAGGATCAATCCAATATTCACCTAAAATGAAAGATAAAGGATTTGCTTCCAATAATGATATATTTAAAAGAGTCATGTTTTACTGCCATCTAATGCTGCTCTAAAAGATTTTCAGTTGAAAAGCTATAATTCTTCTATCTTCAAGGCTGAGAATTAACAATTTCCATTTGCTTTTTTTTTCTTTTATTGATATTTTTTTCTAAGGATAAAACAGCATCCAAATCTATTTTTTCTTCTTGCTTTCTTTTTGTATTTTGTTTCAAGCTGTAACTGCTGAATGTTTCTGGTACATTTTTTGAGGAACTACATCACAAGAGACTAAAATATTTTGCAGTCTTCACATTTCCACTATAAGGAAATGAGAAGATGCACATAAGGCATAAGTTTCTACTTTTGTGATGTCAGAACTGTCATATCATAATCAAAATATTTCAACACATTGCAAGAAAAACATATTAACAGTTAAGGATCCATCTTCCAGTAGCAGTATGAGGTCTAAATACTGGGTTCTGCCATTTATGCATAACCCTGCATTCTGGGTGGCGCACACTGTATCAGCCGAGGTGAGCATTTTTTGCAGAATGTAGGTACACAGTGACTTTCTCTCCCATCTCTGGTGGCAGGTCCACTATGAGATCAGACTGTTGCCCCTACTTCCACCCTACATTGTTTATCTGTAGTTGCAGCATTAATAAAACTGCCGCAGATTCAGATATTTTAAGCATTATATTATCTAAGCTAGGGGTGCACCAATAAAGATTTTTGGGGCCATTACTGATGGCTGAGTATTAATGAGCCATATTGGTCGATACCAATCCAATTGCCGATATGTAGCCCAGAAACTCTGAAAGAAGTGTCTGGCTGGTAAGCAGTGTCTGTGGTGGGGAAGGGCGGGAGGAGGGAAGGGGTGTCAGGGGGCAGATCGAGGCCCCCACAGTGAGGGAGGAAATGGGACTGGGGAAGGGGCAAGGGCATGGGTAGGTGATAAACAGCTGTGGTGGGTGTGGGATGGAGCCAAGAGCAGCTCATCTGGAGGGCATGGGGATGCGGGGGCACAGCTCCCAACACTGTGTGCACCCCCAGGGGAGGCATGGGGGGGGCACATGCCCCCCTGGATCTGTGCACAGGATGAGGGTGGCCTGCCACTGCATGCTTGGAGCCCGGGGTGACACTGGGCTCGTCCTGGCAGGAGTAGCTGCACCAGGGCTGTGGTCAGGCCAGGTGGGGTGGTGTGGGCAGCACTGGAAGGGGGGAGGCTATGGCAAATTTTGGGGTGGCTGTAGCCCCGCCCCATAAACCCCCTTCCCAGCAGTGCTGCCACCTGCCCCACCTACCCTGAGTGCAGCCCTGGGCCAGTCTCTTCTGGGAACAGCCCAGCGCTGCCCATGGCCTCACCCACAGCGGGCAGCCCATGCTCACCCTGCACACAGATCCAGGGTGCACCTGCCCCCCCATACATCTCCTGGGGTGCATACATTGATGGGAGCTGTCTCCTCCTCCCCATGCCCACTGGATGAGCCACTTGCAGCTCCATTGTGCACCCTGCCCTGCCCCAGCTGTTCCGCGCCTGCCCCTGCACCATCCCCCT